GGGCGGGCGCAGGGGCCGGGACGGGCCTCGAAGGGAAGGCGCGAAGCGCGCGTCAAGTAGGCAGGGGAGAAATTTCAGTGGTGGGCCCTTTTAAAAAAAAATCTCAAAACTAGCTCTATACCATGTGAGAATGATAGACGAAAGAATGAATGAACTAGAAATGAGATGGGTACATATAGGAAACACATAAGTGTTGTACCCACTAAGAGCTACCCCACTACAGCCTAAATAGACAATAGCAGATATAAGTTTGACATGTGTGTGTGTGGGTGTATGTGTGTGTGTGCATGTGTGTGTATGTTTGTGTGTATGTATCTGTGTGTGTGTATGTGTGTGTATACATGTGTGTGTGTGTATGTGTATGTGTGCGTGTGTGTGTGTGTGTGTTTATATGTGTGTGCATCCCTTCACAAGCATGTGTGCACACACATAACTAATGCACTGAGCACGCACCTCTGGGTGAGAGCGCCACTCACGTCTCCCCGCTCGTGTCAACGGAACCAGTTCCCTTGCCACCTTCTTCCAGCTGACACCTGTACAAGCACATAGGGCACAATGACGTGTGGGTGTTGGTAATTTTGGTGCATCTCGTATGGTTACAAAGCCATACAGGGTTGGGGATTATCAACGCCTACTGACCTGGGAGCACGCACTTCTCCACGTTGACCAGCCCAGGCAGACGTGCTCTCTCTTGGCGGTGCCGTTGGGCAGAAACAGCTTCGCCCCGATGAGAGAATCCTGGCTCTCCATCCTCTTGAGGAGGTGCTTGACTACTTCCTGCACAAATAGGGAAATAACAGAAATACAGGATTCCATGTCTCCCTTTGAGACCTGGCCCTTAATGGGGTCTTCGTGAAGGTTGAAGGTGTGGGTGATGGGACTCCCTTCCCCATCCATGCCCTCGACTGTCACCATCCGATTTGCAGTACGTCCGTGCTTATCCAGGAACACGGTAAGCTGCTCGCTGTCCTCGCCATAGTTCATGCCATGGTCGATGTAGCGTGCGCACAGTTTGCCGCATGTGTTGTTCACCATGGCGGTGACCCGGGTGATGTCAACCTGCACAATAGCAAACCAAGATTGTAAGTATTTTCATGATATGTGGTGGCACAAGCAGCATGTAACAGTCTTACTGTTCACTGCTGAAACTTTGTGTTCAGTTCGTTCAGCTCTTTCAACACATTTGCTAGGAAAAAAAGAAAGAAGTGAAACTTGAAGCTGCTGATTTTTGCGTATGCCGCCTTGTCGAGCTCCCAACAAACGACGATAGTTGCAGTGAGTACTACCACAAGCCGCCGGATCGCATCGCTTCGAGAGAGCCACCGGATGTCCTTGATCCCTTGCATCTCCATGGTTTCCGCGTGCAGAATGTTTTGCAGCTCCATGATACACGAGTGAACGGCGATGCTTCGTCCAAGGTTGTTGGCTACACTCTGCAAGACTTGGTCGACGAGGCCAAGATCAGGCACAGCATCCGCCGTATCCTTAGCTGCAAGTGCTTCCTTGCAATAAAACCAATGTTTGTATGTTTGAAATGTATTGTCGCAAGCACTACAAAACAACGATGCACTGCTTTACACGTACCTATGGGCGATGCAATGCATGGTCACTAGGTGCGGCACCCGCAAATGGAGTTGTGTAGCCACTCCTGTATGAACTCCCCACATCATGTTTGCCCCGTCAGTGCTGATGCCGGTGGTCTTGCTCAGGTCGATGTCGGTGTTCTCCAGGTGTCCAAGGAGCACGGTCAGCAGAGACAATGCATAGCACTTCTCGACGGTTAAGTGACCAAACATCTCAGTCACGATCTTTGCGACATGGAAAAAACAGAGGTAGACAATCATGTGCTTACCCCGTCGTCAGTCCGTGCTCTCGTCCAGATGTATACCCAAAAACGGTGAATCTTAGATGTGCATCTGCTGTCTCTTCATTGTTGACGAGGGCCTCGGTCATCTCGCAGAAGACGTCACTGCACAGGCACGAAACTGTCAGTTAGTTTCAAAACAATCGGATAGTTAGTATAACGCAATAAGATTCACCATAATACTCACTCTGACTGGTATGTGCCGATCGCCTTGTATGGTATGTTATGCGTCCACAAGTCTGCCAGCAGGCAAACCAGGCCTACGAACATGGAGATGGGGGAGTCTGATCTGCAGATGTACAGCACGCACAACAAGAGTTGCTTCAACCTAGCAGTTTCACCATCTGCTCGTTCGTATTTGGTGATGCCTCGCCGCGCGGCCTTCTTGCCTTCCGCGCTCAGTTTGTCTTCAACAGCGTCCTGATGCTTCCTGCTGAGCGCGTGCTTTCGCATCGTCTATCGCTGGATGTCAGCCCCCCCTTCTCCTTGCTTCCCGTACTGCCAAGTCAGAGGACCGTACGCCATACAGATGCTGCACTTCATGCATCGCGCCCCGTCCTTGTGCTGTGTGATAATTAGCCAACTGAATTTGCCCTTCCATAACTCCTTCGCCTTCGCATGCAGCTCAGACATGAGGCTGTCCGGATCTGGAACTAGAACACTACTTTGAGAAGGGCCATGATCACTGGTGGGATGGAGGGTCGGTGGAGATGGTGGGGATGGCGCCGTCCTGGGGCGAGTGGTGACGCGAACGTGAGGGACGCGCGCCTTTGCGAATCGTAGTGTGCTATGGGTGAAACAATCTATAATTAGGAACCGCGGGTTTCTATCAGAACGAGATGCAGGGATGACTGAGGCCTCTGAGTAGGCAGCGGACGGTGAGAAGACGGGGATGGGGAGGCAGGCGGTGTGCGGCTAAAAGCCCGCCGAGCATTTACCTCGGGCCACGACACAGGCGTAACTTTGGGGGTATCGTGGGGAGAAGCTATTGGGCCACGTGACGGGGAGCTAACTTCATCAGCGGGCTGGGGTCTACGCAGGAAATCCAGGCCCGTCATAGGAGAACGGGCCTGTGGCGTGGCTGTATCCGCGCCTTTCACGGGGTCCGCCATGGCGAGGAGACGGACGGGAGGAAAAGAAAACGCTCCCTGCAAAAACAGGCGTGAATAGGCTACGTCAAGAGAGGCTTGGAGACGAAGGGCCTCCTCAAACCCCAACGTTCAGTCTGCTTCCTCTCTTGACGAAGCGTGCATGGCTAGAATGAAGGTTATCTCTTCCTCTCAAACACCACTTGTTTGTGGTGCTATCGCATCGCAGTTCTTGAAGGTTCTGTAGGCGCCAAAATCATCGATGTATGGATGTGGCAGCAGCTGCGCTGTATCACAGTGACCAATAACAGTAGTAGTAACAGGCCACACACAGCAGATGTGGTCCTGCGTGAGCAAGGTATGACGCGGAGTGACCTGTTGCAGCACATTCTGGGTGGATTCACGTGGGGCGGAAGCATCTTCTGCCTTGCTGGCGAAAGCAGCTTCCAAGTTGTCGGGGCGCGAAAGGGATGGTACGTGCATTTCGGTATTCAGTGGGGAAGCCGCTAATCACGCACTGTACATGCTCAAACCATTCCTATGGGGAGAAAGTTTCGGCATCAGACGAAACCGAAACTAAATGTCATGAAACAAAAGAACATGAAATTTTATGTCTTTCTCATCAGATAAAACCAAAAAAATCATTCCTTTCCTAACAGAAATCACAACACTCAAATTCTGATATATCAAATAAACCACTAAAAAAAAATCTGCTAGGCAGACAAACAGACAGATTTTTTATGCTAGCGAGACCCTTGGGTAGAGCGCGCGTTCCACGGGCTGGGACAAACCGGCGATTGCGGCGGAGGACGCGGCGGGAGGCACGGCTAGAGGTACGGCAATTATGAACAGCTTTTGAATTTCACTATTTTTAATAGCATGTCATGTCAATTAATTGACGAAGTGTACAGATGTGAATTTTAGCCATCAATTGTTACCGCTCTAGTTGTTTGCTTATATCGCGATTCTGTATAAACTGTTTACGTAACTTACACCAACCATTTCCTGTTGCGTCATCTGTGCTAAAAGCACCAGACAAGTCGGTTACCATCTTGCTCACGCCGCAGAGCAGAGCGCAGGCCTCTGTAGGAAAAGGAGGAAAGGCGGCTACGAGCTCTCACCTGAATCCCTCGACTCTAGACTTTGCTTGGCTTCCGTGTTCTGCGCCGACGCATCCACCATCTCCTCTGTGTTGAAGCAGAATAACTACAGTATGCTTTGACAGAATCGCCCATACGGCTAATGGAAAATCTTCCGAAGATTGCTGGCGTTGCACGCTACCGCGACATGCTTTGTGTCTCCTTTCCAGCGGGGTAGAGTAGCAACCCCGCCGCCAAATGCGTCAATCTGAGTGCCGCTGCGCGATGGGAAAACCTCCTCGTATCCAGCCCCCTCACTCAGCTTCTTGCCGGGGATAAAACCCACTCGACTGGTTCTTGTGAAGTCACGCAATCAGCCCACCAAACAACGAATTTAGTTCACCATGGCGCTCCACAGGTACCTGAGCTTGTCAGTTGTTCTCTTAGTCGTCGCCACATGCTTCGGTGAGTGACATTGGCACCTCTACTTGTGCTGCACACAATATTAGCCGTAAATTTCCACAAATTAATCCTACAGAACTGCTTCATTTCATGCGTTTATTTTTCACCTGCTTCCTTCCTAAAATGTTCTTTCATAATTTCTATCTGATGTGTTTGCTTAATGTTCATCTTCTATTTAGTGACCACGACGGCGCGCCCTGTGAATGACAGAAACGGCGGAAAGGACGGGGGACCCCCAGATGCCGGCCCATGTCCGGTGCCCACGCTATTCAAGGCTGAAGCTTTCGGGAATCTGACGAGTGAGAATCTTTCTGAGGATTTCGTATATCAGCGCTTGGTGGGCCATGAATCATGATCATGTGGAAGTTCCTTTGGAAAACGCACAGACTTGAATCTCTACCCCCCTCTTTCCTCCGCTTTATTTCATAAAAGGTTCCTCTCCTCTCCCTTCCGCTCACTTTCCCTCCGCTGTTTCTCTCCGCCCGTCTTCTCCCCTCTCTCGAGCAGCGATTCTCGCCGCGCGGCTTAACGGATCTGAAATGGTTGGCGCCACGGGCGACGTCAGTGCCTCCGGCCGAATCTGCCTCGCCGTCTACCAGTAAGTCAACTGCCCGTCACGGTGCTGTGGCCCCCAAAGTGCGACGGCCCGCCCTTTTTCTGTCAGTTTGACTTCGGTCAACTGCTTGTTTCCGTTCTTTCTGAAACTGCAGCCTTGGCCTCTGCAACCGAGAAATCTTCTTTCTCTATATCTCCCTAAGCTATGCGCATTTATCTTACTCCCTTCCGTCCGCATGCATGGTGAACATAATGGAAACTGTCAGATTAGACGGCGATTACATCGTCTTCTACAGTGTCGCCATCGTCTCCACCTCATCATCATCATCATCATCTCCTGTTCTCCCTTCCTCCCTTCTTCTTGCTTATGTGAACTTGCTTGTGTGAATCCCTACGGAATCCGCTAGGCAAGACAACGACTACAACGTCCTCTACAGTATCGTCGTCTCCACCTCCGACCCTGACGAGCCGTCAGCCGTTCCCATGTGGGAAGGCGCAGCGGGAGAGTTGGGAAAACCCGTCGTCGCTCTGGTCAACCCCGATGTCCAGTGGACGAATCCAAACCCTCCCAGGTGCTATTATAACCAGAGATCGACCCCCGCCCCGCCTCCTCTAATCTACTCTTATGCTATTGATGGCGCTTGGCTTGAAGCGAGTACACTCTCTGCCGATGACGGGCAGACAATAAAGCAGCTGGTGGATTCGATTATAGCGAAGCCGGAGTCATCCGCATGCTCTGATGAGTGACATTTGCACCTCTACTAGTTGTGTTACAGTCATTAGGTATCAGCCGTAAACTTCCACGAATCAATCCTAGGGAACTGCTTCATTTCATGCGTTCATTCCACCACCTGCTTACTTTCTGACATGTTCTTTCCACCTACGTTTCGATATCTTTTATCTTATGTGTTTGCTTGATGTTTATCTCCCTTTCAGCGACCACAATGGCGCGCCTTGTGAATGACAGAAACGGCGGAAAGGATGAGGGAGCCCTGGACGCGGGCCCATGTCCGGTGCCCTCGTGGATCGAGGCTGAGGCTCTCGGGAATCTGACGGGTGAGAAGAGAAATGCTATGGGAAATTTGAAAACCAACGCTTGGCAGGCCATGATTATGGTAGTTTTTCTGGTTCAGAAAATGCGGATACATGATTTATCTTTATTTCATAGTATGTTCATCCCCTCCCTTTCCGCTCACTTTCCTCCACTGTTTCTCCCCGCCCATCTTCTCCCCTTCTCTCTCGAGCAGCGATTCTCGCCGCGCGGCTCAACGGATCCAAAATGGTTGGCCCCACGGGCGACGTCAACCCCACCGGCCGAATCTGCCTCGCCATCTACGAGTAAGTCAACCTCACGTCACGGTGATGCGGTCCCCTTAGTGCCACGGCCTGCCTTTTTTTCTGTCAGTTTGAGTTCATTCAACTGTTCCTTCCGTTCTTTCTGAAAATGCAACCGAGAATTTTGTTATCTCCCTAAGCTATGCGCGTTCCCTTACTCCCTTCCGTCTGCATGCGAGGCAATTGCAACGTCTTGTACAGTGTTGTTGTCTCCACCTCATCACCTCCAGTTCTCCATTCCTCCTCTGCTTGCTTGTCTGAACTTCGAACTTTGCAAGACAACGACTACAACGTCTCCCGTTCTTTATTTCTCCCTTCTTCTTGCTTATGTGAATCCCTACGGAATCCGCCAGGCAAGACGACTACAACGTCCTCTATAGTGTCGTCGTCTCCACCTCCAACCCCAGCGAGCCGGTCGCCCTTCCCATGTGGGAAGGCGCAGCGGGAGAGTTGGGAAAACCCATCGTCGCTCTGGTCAACCCCGGTGTCCAGTGGAGGAAACTTACTCCTCCCCCTCCCAGGCGCTATCTTGACCAGAGATCGACCCCCGCCCCGCCTCCTCCAATCTACTCTTATGCTATAAACGGCACTTGGCTTGAAGCGAGTACACTGCCCACCGATGACGGGCATACAATAAAGCAGCTGCTGGATAAGATAATAGCGAAGCTTGATGGGTACTACGCGAGATTAGAAACGAATGCTTATGCATCGGGTGCAGCGAGGGGGCAGTTCAAATCGGAGCCAATTCATGTTGGTAAGAAGTGCTTCCCGCTTCTAGCCTTCTCCGGCCCTCTTGCCTTGCCCGCTCGTGCCTCCCGCACCATTTTTACTGTTACGGATGTAACGACTCGCTCTTGCTACATATGTAACGACTCGCTCTTGCTACGGATGTAACGACTCGCTCTTGCTACGGATGTAACGACTCGCTCTTGCTACAGATGTAACGACTCGCTCTTGCTACATATGTAACGACTCACTCTTGCTACGGATGTAACGACTCGCTCTTGCTATGGATGTAACAACTCGCGCTGCCTCTTCCCTTCATTCTTCTTTTCGATGTCGCTTTCTTTCTCTCCGTGGTCTCGTGCAGGTACGGTGGGAACCAATTTCACTGGCCCCGGCACTGGTGACGTCAACGCTATAGGCTTCTTTTTTCTCAGCGCCTTCCTGTAAGCTTCGCCATTTTTCCCCTTCGTTCACCCCTCACTCTCTCAACGTCCCTCACTTCTCGCACCTCTTTTTTATTTTCTTTTCTTTTTTTCTTTTTGTTCCCTGGTTACCCTATCCCCTCACTACCTGCCCGTGGCCTAACACCCGCCCCTCCCTGCCCCTCCTCGCCCACCCCTTCCCCTCCCTGCCCATCCCTGCCCCTCCTTGCTCTTCGCTGCCACCCTACTCCTCAAGAATACCTTAACTAACGACTACCACATTCGTTTCCACGTCGACGTGACGCTAAGCAATCCTGGCGATCCCAACAGCGTCGTCATTAAGAAGGTCAATGACGTGGCACTCACCGTGGTCTCCAGCAACGCCACGTGGACCAATCGCACACTCTCAGAGGCCGAGCGTGCCAAGCTGGGCGGCAAACTGACTCCCAAGGGCAAGAAGGGCAAGAAGCCGCCTCCCCCGCCGCCCCTCTACTACAACTACGTAACCTCCGGCACTTGGTTATGTTGAAATGTATTTGTATACATTCATATAAATGCCTACAGTAGCCTAGTGTAGTTATCTTAGTTTCCTGCTAGGTGGTGTACCATTTGCCTAATTCCTTGCCTATATCTTGTATGCCCTCTACTATTGAACCTCTCTTTTTGGCTTGCACTTTTCCTCTCGTCACTCTCGCCTAGGTCAAATCCTAGGCCCCTAAACTATTATGTTTGACATGGTACAGAGCACGTAACATCCTGGCCTGCTGTTTTTTCAACTACTCCATGGGCCCACCAAGTCTTCCGCTGCTGTCCTGCCTATCGCGCGCCTCGGGCGCGCGCTGTTTTTCTGCCCGTCGTGCGCCCCGAGGTGCGCGACGGTGCCCTGCCTGCCTGCCCGTCGTGCGCCCCGTGGTGCGCGACGGTGCCCTGCCTGCCTGCCCGTCGTGCGCCCCGTGGCGCGCGACGGTGCCCTGCCTGCCCGTCGTGCGCCCCGTGGCGCGCGACGGTGCCCTGCCTGCCCGTCGTGCGCCCCGAGGCGTGCGGCGGTTTCGTCGCCTGTTGCGACGCACCGGGGGCCCGCGCCCCCCCCCCCCCCCCCCCCCCCCCGCCTTTTCCCGTCGCCCGTCGCGGTGCTCTGGGGGGCCGCGCGACCTGGGGGGGGGTCGCGCGTCGCCCCCTCTGTCGCCCGTCACGGCGCCCTGGGGGGCCGCGCGTCGGCCCCTCCCGTCTTCGTCGCGGCCCTGCCCTGCCCTGCCGTCCTGCCCCGGCCCTGCCCCGCACCTGCTGCTCGTGCGCCAGTGAAAAAAGGGGGGGGAGGGGGTGGGGTTTGCGCGTGGGTGACACATCTCCTGCCGCCGCTGTTCGCCTTTTCCTCCCTCTCACTGCTGCTCGTACACCCGTGGGGGGAGGGGGAGTGTGAGGGGGTGGCGAGAGAGATTCTGCAAAGCCAGCAGCCGCCCCTCCTCTCTCTCTCACTACCGCTCGTGGCTGTGGGGGGAGGGTAAGAGAGGGTGGCGGAAGACATTCAGGAAATTGCAGCTGCCACCCGCTGCTATCGTGGCACCTCCTGCTGCCGCCCCTGCCGCCACCTGCCCTTGTTTCTGCTGCCTGTTGCTGGGGCCTGCAGGTGCTGCCGTCGAGCCGCTGCTGTCCTGCTGCACGTTGCAGCCTCAGAGCCTGCTCCTCAGGCGACCTGCCGCCCCTACACCTGCTACTGCTTCTGCCTTGGCTGAAGGCGTGCTGCAGCTGTATTTGCCACCAAAGCACCGACTGCCACTGTTATTGCCTGCTGCTGCTTCTTCCACTGCACCTGGTGTACCCCTGCAGACTTTGTGCTACACACGGGTTTCCACTGTAGGCATTTAGGGGGTGTGTTGAAATGTATTTGTATACATTCATATAAATGCCTACAGTAGCCTAGTGTAGTTACCTTAGTTTCCTGCTAGGTGGTGTACCATTTGCCTAATTCCTTGCCTATATCTTGTATGCCCTCTACTATTGAACCTCTCTTTTTGGCTTGCACTTTTCCTCTCGTCACTCTCGCCTAGGTCAAACCCTAGGCCCCTAAACTATTATGTTTGACAGGCTAAACGCCAGTACTTTGAAGGCGGATATCGGGCAGACTTACAAGGAGCTGATGGATGCCTTGCTGGTTGCTCCTGCCATTTACTCTGCTCGTGTCTACACCAAGTGGTTCAGGAACTGTGCTGCAAGCGGATCTTTAGCCATGCTCGCCTAGGATGGTCAACAGGCCAGCATATTAATAATACACTGGTATGAAGGCAATTCACCTATTTCTATGATGTATGTATGATAGGGTATGGTATATGTAAGTCTGCAGATATAAAGGATGTTGTAAGAGTATAGCCTTTTGTAGCAGCTTGCATTTCATTACTTCCAACGCCTGATGCCTCCTTGACTCACTATCAGATAATGCATGGGTGAGTGGGTGCAATGAAAGGTACCAACCACCTAACTCAAGCATCCCATCTCTAGCTTCACTATTATTTGGTATCACCTAGACTTTGTTACCGTATGTCCGTTCATCAATGAAGTTGACGTCTGTGTACTGCGGCAATGAACCCGCTTGACAGCTTGAGGGGGTGTGAGAGATAGAAGCTGGCTGCCAGCTGCACGTGGATGTTACTCGTTGTGCTCCCTGATATTGTCAGCCTGTTATGAACACCTTCGTTTTAAGCTGTCGTTAAGCAGGTATAATCGATAGAGAGAATAGTTGGCACTGTCTCTATCATGATTTCTAAACTAAGACATCTGGTTTTGTGCTCGTACAGAGGTGTCCGTACTCTTTATAGAGACTTTTGCCATCCCCTGCTGTTTTTTCATGCTGCACCACCTGCGCGTGCATCTCAGGGAATAATAGGTCAAGCCGAGGAAAGCAGTTGGCCAAGTTTATTGCGGGTGCACCGGAACAGAGCATGAGGCTCCGTGAGGAAAGGAGGAGCCACCAGCTTCACCTGAATTTCCCCTTGGGTTCTGATCTGACCTGTGTGGCGAGGCAATTCATCCTTCACCTCTGCAATGTGGGACTAGAGAATTTCGCTTCGACTGGGTTGCCCGTACCATCCGTGGTCGATTGGATCAGAACAAAATGATGACGAAAGTGGGAAATTGAGAAGTCAGCAGCCCCAACCCTCTAAACTTATATCCCACTGATGTTTACAGAAATATCAAGGTTGGGTTTCCACAAATTTCGTTTGTTGTTGCCCGCAACCGAGCCCTCAAAATGTTTACGCATGTCACACGCTGTGCGGTTCCCTTTCCCGCCAGGTGCCCCGCTATATGCGTCCACCCGAATCTCGCAGCGCATTCTCTTGGTTTCCCATAGCCTGCAGAGTCTAACACGAGAAGGCGAGGAACATTTCCGGAAACCGAAGGTTTTCACTGTATACCGCTAGTTAACATTCCGCACCGTACTGAAATGTCTACAACTCTCTCGAACGCAACCAGCAGTTGCCCAGTTTTCCTTGCTGAGGATAAATACCACTCGACTAGCAAACGAGATATCACCAGTTCCTTCGCACCTGCCTCACACAACCTGCGTTTATTCTCATATCCTTAGGAATCGATTCAGCAGCTAGGGAATTTGGTCTGCCATGGGGCTCCGCCCTTACCTCTGCTTGTCAATGTGCCTCCTAGTTGTCACAGCATCCATCAGTGAGTGATATATGAATATTCACCTTTGCTACAGCCGAGATCACCAGCAGAATCCCTATGAATCAATCACAGCGAGATGCTTCATCTTCCATGAGTCCGCTACATTGAATAACTTCTTATTTGCAATTTCAAAAGCTTGTTCCATGTGTGCTTCTGCTGTGCAGGAATCACGACCGCACGCCCTGTGAATAAGGACAATAAAGGCGGGAAGGAAGGGCCCCCGGATGCAGGCCCGTGCCCGCTGCCCAAGCCAAAAGATGCTGAGCCTCTCGGGAATCTGACGGGTGAGAACTCTCCGGGAAATCTGACGCATGATAGGAGCTCGGGAAATTTCTAGATGCTTGGCTAACCGTGTGGCATGTCCTTACAAGAATCCACGCGTTGGTTACTGCTTTTACAAACAAAACAGCAGCTTCCCTCCTCTTCTCGCCTCTCATCTATCCTCCTGTCTTTTTCCCCGCACTCTCACAGTCCTCTCCGCCCTTCTCTCACACTCTCTCGCTCCCCCGCTCCCATTCCTCAGCGTGCCCTCCTCTTGCAGAACACCCCCCCCCCCCCCCCCCCTTCAACCCCCAATCCCCATCCCCCTCCGTTTCCGCGCAGCGATTCTCGCCGCGCGACTGAACGGATCCAATGTGGTTGGGGCGACGGGCGACGTCAACGCCACTGGCCGAATCTGCCTCGCCGTCTTCAAGTAAGCCAGCCACCTGTTTTCTTTCCGTTCTCCCTCGACCCACGTCACCTGGTCCTCTCTGCTGCCTTCCGTCCCTCCGTTGAATAAACTGAAACCTTCCGTCGAACCCACATTATCATCCCGAGAGTGCCTTCTCCCTGAGCGGTGCGCATTCCGTCCTTCCTTCCCGCTCGCTTGTGTGAACCCTGACGGAAACCGCCAGGCTAGATGGCGACTACAACGTTTTCTACAGTGTCGTCACCTCCACCGCCGACGACGGCGAGCCGTTCGGCGCGACGATCTCGATCGGCGCGGCGGGAGAGGGGGGCGACGCCGCCGCCCTTTTAGTACAAGCAGGAGAAACCACCACGTGGGCGAATCTTACCCGTCCACCGCCTCCGCCGCCCAAGGGCAAAAAGAACAAGGGAACACCACCCCCTCCGCCTCCTCCGAAGTACACTTATGCGTCACACGGGACGTGGCTTACAGCGAGTACAATGGCCACGATCGGCGGGCAGACTCTAAAGGCGCTGGTGGATGCGATGCTCGCGAATCCGGATGGTTACTACGCGTCGTTCGCGACGACTGGTTATGACTCGGGTGCGGCGCGGGGGCAGTTTCAGTCGGACCCGCTTCCGCCGCCGCCTAAGGACAAGCAGGGCGGCAAGGACGGAGGAAAGAAAGGAGGGAAGGATGGCGGGAAGAACGGCGGGGGGAAGAATGGAGGCGATCAGTTCGGCACTCTTGTCGGTAAGCGCATAAGAAATAGAGACTTCACGTCTTTCCGCTCCAAGCCTTCTCCGCTGCTTTTCCTCGCCACCATTCATACTTGCTTAGGAATCAACCGCCAACCGTGCATTGTTTCCTTTCTGTGATTCCGCGATTTCGTGCAGGCGTGATCGCAGCGCGTGTCAACGGCTCTAATGTTGACCTCCAAGGTGACGTCAACGCCACGGGCTGCGTTGACCTCGTCATCTTTCTGTAAGCTTCTCCTTCTCTCTTTTACTCACGTGTACTTCTGCTCTCTTCTCGCTTCTCACTACTCACGTCACGTCTCATTCTCCTCCGTTCACCCCTTACTCTCTCAACCTCCCATTACTTCTGGCATCCTGTTTTTGCCTCTTGTTAGCTTTGCCCCTCTTTACCCGCCTGTCCCATGGCCAAACACCCGCCCCTCCCTG